TTTTTTCCACAAAGGTATCAAGAAATACAGTGAAGACAAACAAAAATCCAAAGCATCTATTTTCAGATTTGTAGAGAATCACTGGATATAGAGACATTTAAGAATATTTCTCTATATTAGGAATTTAAGAACGGAAAAACACCTGAGGTGGGGACACAATTTTTATGCAGCTATATCTGTGCAGAACTCTCAATTCAAGCAATTATGATTCGTGGGCCAAATCTGACCCACTATCTTGTTTTTCATATGGCCTGTGAGTTAAGAGTTATTTTTAATGGTTGAGAATAAAAATCAGAAGAATATTTCATGACACATAAAAATTATAATAAAATTTCAGTATCCATCAATAAAATTTCATTGGAATACAGACCTATTCATTTGTCTACGTGACGTCCATGGCTGTTTTCATGTTACAGCGGCAGAGTTGAGTAGTTGCAACAGAAACAATAAAGCCAAAAAAACCTAACATATCGATCATCTGGCCCTTACAGAAAACATTGCCCAACCCATAATAGTTCATTTCTTCTGACTTATCTTCCAGTTTGCTAATGCTGTCTTTAGTTGTCTCTAATCTGCCATTAAATACTATTGAGTTTTTGATTTTAGTAAACGTGTTTTTTAATTCTAGAAGTTTTGTTTTTCCAACCTAATATTTTGCTTTTTCTAGTCCCCTAGTCCATGTATACAGCTCAATCTTGTCTTTATTTCCTTAAATATAGTATATCTAATTGCCTTACCAACTGTGTCTGGTAAGTCCAATTTCACAAATCTTTGTGGGTCCCCCTCTGTTGTCTGTTGTTTTTCATGGTTCTCACTAATGGAGCCTTGTTCCCTTGCGCACTTCAGTTATTTTTACTCTGAGCTGTTTGTTTCTTTTAAAGGTTATTTGCAGGGATTTCACGTCTTCCTCCAGAGCAAGTTTGCGTTTGCCTCTGCCAGGACTTTGGCGGCACTGCCAGTATGGGATACATTAAACTCTCATATAATTAAAGTTCACGGCTTGAGGTTCCACAGATCACCTGAGCGACGAGAACCCTGGCTGCAAATAGCAAGTGTGGCTTTTTTTAAATGAATTTATTGCTCTGATCCACTAAGAGTTCTGGAAACCTGAGTTGAACTTCTAGCTCCAACTATGCTAAGTCCTTTGGGGTTTTAGTTTGATGTGGAAAGGGTCAAAAGATGGAAAATATGGAAGAGATGTCAGTAGACCTGGAGGCTAGAATGAAAAGGTCTAACAATTTAATCAGAGTTTCAGAAGAGGAGTGGAGAGAGAGTGGGCAGAGGCAATATTTAAAGAGATGATGGCTGAAAATTTTCCAAAACATATGAGTTCTTTCTTATACTACAGAAGTATAGTGACAGACGGTAGCTACACTTGTGGTTAGCAAGGTGTAACATATGGACTCTTCAAATCCCTATGTTGTACACCTGAAACTAATATAACACTGTATGTCAACTATACTTCAATTTAAAAAACCAATTCTGGGGGCGCCTGGGTGGCGCAGTCGGTTACACGTCCGACTTCAGCCAGGTCACGATCTTGCGGTCCGTGAGTTCGAGCCCCGCATCGGGCTCTGGGCTGATGGCTCGGAGCCTGGAGCCTGTTTCCGAATCTGTGTCTCCCTCACTCTCTGCCCCTCCCCCGTTCATGCTCTGTCTCTCTCTGTCCCAAAAATAAATAAAAAACATTGAAAAAAATATTAAAAAAAAAAACAACAACAAACAATTCTGTAAACACACACACACACATACACACACACACATCTGTTTGATTTAAAAATTAAATAATTTTTGGGGTGCCTGAGTGGCTCAGTCGGTTAAGCATCCAACTCTTGGTTTTGGCTCAGGTCATGATTTCACGGTTCATGAGCTCGAGCCCCACATCAGGCTCTGCACTGTCTGTGTCTACTTGGGATTTTCTCTCTCCCTCTCTCTCTGTTCCTCTTCCCCTCTCAAAATAAATAAACATTTTTTTTTAAAGATTTTATTTATTAATTTTTTTTCCAACTTTTTTTTAATTTTTTTTTTATTTTTGGGACAGAGAGAGTCAGAGCATGAACGGGGGAAGGGCAGAGAGAGAGGGAGACACAGAATCGGAAACAGGCTCCAGGCTCTGAGCCATCAGCCCAGAGCCCGACACGGGGCTCGAACTCACAGACCGCAAGATCGTGACCTGGCTGAAGTCGGACGCTTAACCGACTGCGCCACCCAGGCGCCCCAAATAAACATTTTTTAAAATTAGCTAAATTTTAAAAATCTAAATGAATCTAATCACGATAAATAAAAAGAAATTCTCACATTTATAAATCTATTTATACTTTATAGAACCCTTTCTTCTAGTCTTCCTTAAAAACCTTGGGAGGTGGATCTTATTATCTACATTTTTGATAAGAAAAAACTAGTATTCAGAGAGCTAAAACAAATTATCTAAGGTCGCATAATTCTTTTTTTTAATTATTGTTTATTTATTTTTGAGAGAGAGATCACAGGCAGGGGAGGGGCAGAGAGAGAGGGAGACACAGAATGTGAAGCAGGCTCCAGGCTCTGAGCTGTCAGCACAGAGCCTGACGCGGGGCTTAAACCCACAAACTGTGAGATCATGACCTGCGCCGAAGTCAGATGCCCAACTGACCAAGCCACCCAGGCGCCCCTAAGGTCACATAATTCTAAGCAGCAGGGGCAGAATTCAAATCTAGTTCTTCTGATTCAAGTTCAGGTCCTTTCCTGTGCATTAGAATTAGAACACAACACAGCAGGGGCACCTGGGTGGCTCAGTCGGTTGGGTGTCTGACTTCAGCTCAGGTCATGATCTCCTGGTCGGTGAGTTCTAATGCTGTCAGCTTGTCAGTGCAGAGCCTGCTTCGGAAGCTCTGTCCCCATCTCTCTCTCTCTGCCCCTCCCCTGCTTATGCTCACTCTCTCAAAAATTAAAAAAAAAAAAAAAGAACACAACACAGTAGAAGGTGACTTCATAAGAGGAGATCTGGATACTGCTGAGGGATCAACTCCAAAACTCAGAATCGTTCACTTGGAAACTTCTCCTTGGAAGCAGGTAAAAACCGTTTCCACACATCTGTGCTTTCTTCTAAAGATAGCACTGGATTGGAAAAGTCTTTGCAATCAGAGGCAGGAAAGTTCTAGCTTACACCTTGTGAGTTATTCCCCAGGCTAAAGACCAAGTTGCCTCAAATGGCTCATGGATCTGGCCTGGTACACACCAGAAAGCTGCACATCAGCCTGCTGTGTACCACCTAACTGTTGAGACAACGGGGCAGGAGTGTCCTCCTAATTCCCCTTCTTACGCTGCTGGAGACAGTTTAAATACCGTAGTTAACATGTCCTAAATAACATGCCTTTTGTTCATCGATGTGATTTGACTTGGTAAATTACTACATCTCTTCCATTCTGGTGGCATTTCACTTGCTTAGCTGATACTTGATTTCTTTTTTTTTTTTTTTTTTTTTTTTGCCCAGAGCACTAAATTAAGAATTTTCGAAGAGTGAAGGCTGTGGCTTTCTAGCATAATTGAGCCCCATTACCCAGATGTTAACATATAGCTGACATCTCTCTACTAGCCTGGTATAAAGAGCAGACCATCCTTCCCTCGTGGCTGCCTCCGTGATGTATAAAAGCTGGAAGAATTACAATGCCTGAATTCACAGTATGAGGCATGAAAGCCAAAATGCCAGAAGCCAGGGAAAGGGTTGAGATGCTAGATAATTCAGTGGGAAAGCCAAATAGCCCCAGATTCAATGTCTTGTATGTAGGCACAGCCATCACCATCACAAGCGGCTGTGGGCAAGGCTTCATGCAAGAGAGGAAAGGAGACACAATGCCCATCTTTCATGTCAGTCTGGTGCTGGCAGGGGACACGGGACTACAAAAGTGACTGACAACAGAATGGAGCCACAGGCAGTTTTTCAACCATTTACTGCATATCAACCATGTGAGAGGTGCCATGCAGGGTATGAACACACAGAATGGATACAGTCCAATCTCAAGGCATCCCAGTCTAACTGGAGAAGTGCACGGTCATCCACCTATCATCCATGCATCCATCCATGCAGCCATGGTTACTGAGCACCTCACAAACATAAACCAGCACTGGCTGGGTGCTAGAAAGGACAAGAAGCCCAGAACAGAGCAGAATTCTGAAAGGATTAGACTCTCTGTACTTGAAAGCCCTTATGAAGTAATCACTTCAGGTAAGTTCTCACAATAACCCTAAGAGGTAGGTATATTGGTGTCCTCCTCTTACAGATGGACTGAGGCTCAGAGTGGCTAAGTAGCTTGCCCCAAATCAGAAAGAGAATAAATGGCAATCTGGGATTTGAACCAAGGCAGGCCTGGCTCTAAGCCTGTGCTCTTAATAAATTGATAATTATGACACAGTTCATTATACTACAATGAGATCATCGGTGGCAGAAGGAGAAAATTCACAGGAAGCAGAGGGGGAGAGATCGTGAATTTTGTGCAGGAAAGAGGTAGTCTTTGAGTTTTCCCAGGAGACCAGCAAGGAAAGGGAATTGCAGGCACAGAGAAGAAGCACACGCAAAGGCAGAGGGGAACGGAGGGTTTGCCAGTGGCAGAGACAGGAGCTAATGCGGCAGAAGCCTGATCACAGCTGTCTTTTGCACACCAGGCCGCAGAGCATCTCTGACAGGCCACTGCCTCCTGCTACAATTCAACCATCCTCCGCTCTGTAGCAGAAGCCTTCCCAGGGCCTCCGTGTCCCTCAAACCCGGCAGTGGCTCCTTCTGTAAGGAGCTCCCTGTGCCAGCCAAACCTAAGGCTTCATGTTTGCACTCACGATCCCATCCCCTCTGGGCCCCTGCAGACTATAACATGCTCCAAGATTCTGCTGATGGCGGGGGCGGGGAGCAGAGGTCCCAGGGAGTCCTCCAACAAAAGCAGGGCTGAGGAGGTGACCCTTCTAAGACGGACCCCAGTTCTCACAGACGTCTCTACCACAGAGTCAAGGTGCTTTCTTGTTCTACTCACAGTTTAGAGTCCAGCTTCAGGAGGAAACCCAACCGATCATACTCTGAAAAAGAACAGAAAAGCAGAAAATGTCACTAAAGTCAAGCCACTGTTGACACTAGCAGGTTACATTCCCCAGACACAGATCATGGGGACAGACAACTGCTTAAGGAACAGACCCACATACATAAGCCGTAACTAAATTTAAGTCTCGAACTCTTGCTGAACACCTGTTTTATGAAGGATGAGGTTCAATGCCAGGTGTTTCCCAGACCCTCTAGGCCAACCAGTTCCTGTGCTGGTATATAACTGCCTTCCTGTTTAAACGTGGTGCTTGACTGAAACTTAGTTAAACCGAAAAACTGGACCCCCAAAGAAGTAACAGGGTTAGAAGCAATTTCTGATTCCTCTAAGCTCTAGTCATAATTTTTGCTGGAGCAGCCGTGTTAACTATGGAGTGAAGATGTGGCAGCCAAGGAGTCCTCAAATCCAGGGCAATGACACCATCGTCTTCATGACAGGCACAAGGAACTGACAGGTCTGCTACACAAAGGGGAGGAAATTTAGAGTGAAATCTAAAAATAAGTTGTAAGGTGTTTACAACTAACGATAAATCATGAATATTTTAGGTTCTTTATATCTTGCCTCATCCTAAAACGAGGTTGAAGCAGTTTTACAAAATTGTAATGAAGTACAAGATCTTTAAAAAAGAAGATATCTGGGGGAGGCACCTCGGTGGCTCAGTCAGTTAAGTGTCTGCCTTTTGATTTCAGCTCAGGTCATGATCTTAGGGCCGTGAGACTGAGCCCTGCATCAGACTCCATGCTGAGCATGGAGCCTGCTTAAGATTCCCTCCCCTGCTCTCTCTCTCTCTCTCTCTCTAAATAAAAAAAGAATAAAACAGGGAAGATATCTGGTATCTGGAACCACAGGTGAAATAAGCATAAGAAAAATAGTACAGCCAGGATAAGAATACCAAAACTGGATGATCTAAGGTCCTATGTGCTGGCTGGAGGAAGATTATAGATTTACCCCCAAGATTTCTCACAGCTAAAGCTGAATGCGAAGCACTGATGAAATGATTTATAGTGTTCATCAAATAAACCAGGAGAAACACAGCTATTCCTGCTACTAAGACTTGAGGGAAGTATCATGAGGTTATTTCTTATAGCTTTGGTCAATGTTTGCAAAGCGTGTGTGTGTGTGTGTGTGTGTGTGTGTGTGTGTGTGTGTGTGTGTTTGTGTGTGCATGGTGTTGACTATGTCAAAATAAAGCAGTCTAGGAATGAATGCAGTTCTCAGTTGGCCTGGCTTAACCTGAGGATAAAACAGAATACCAAGGCCAAACACCTAAATGGCAAAGGCCATGCAGCAAGGTTTTCGAGGAACTCAGTCTTCAATAAGCAATGATGGCCAAGAGAAAGAAGGTACCCATACTGACAAGTACCTCACAGGAGCCATTCAGCAAGGCCAACTAAGGCCCAAATCTGTACTCTTTCTTAAACAGCAGAACTGCAGTGAGAGAATAATTCTTCTTAAAATTGAAGATACCGAATAGAACATACAGCCCAACAGAAGGCTTGCCTCCCAGGAGGAAAGTCAAAGCCTTTCCTCAAAATAATTCTGCTTTTGCTCTGAGATAAATGGATGGGAGACTTTGCTTAATATATCAGGAACTCATAAAAGTAAAAAAAAAAAAAAAAGTGTCAATTTTTAAAATAAAGTGAAAACAAAATTTGCAAAAAGAGTTAGTTTCAAAGGTTAATACTCTTTCAACAATCCTAGTTATCATTCCATAAAAAAGAAAATCTCATTAACTTGCCAACACCTGTTGCTTTCCCCCCATGTGGTCATAACCTTGGGGCAACTATTCTGCTACTGCTCCTCAGACCCAAGCTAAGACTTCACTGGATATACAATGAATCCACATTTTGGCTGTTTCCTTCCAGAGACTCCAGAGAATGCCCTCCCCTTGTTGCAAACTCAGATGTTGGGGGCCAGGCAAGAACCTATCACAAATGAAGGAAGGAGGGAATGTGATACCTTTCCAGAGTAACTCATACTACTGATTTCAGTTGCATTAAAAACAAATCCCGTTGAAATGTATTTTTTCACCACGTATTTTTGTATAGTAGCCATGATTATCTCTGCGGGTTATTTTCCAATGGCATCTTAAGTTTTGTTTTACAGACACATACACTAATTGCATATTAAACATATGAGAACACTGCATATCTAAAGAAATCCCCTTCATAGCTCTCTGGGACTGTTGTTTTCTCTCTTTTGCTAAGAGACAGGAGTCCCAGAAATGTTTCATTTCATTCTGTTAATTTAAGGAAAGGTAACTGTGTGAGCCCAATAATGATAAATGGCAACTGGCATTGCCTTTGGGTCACAGAGCCACGAGGGAATGGAGCCCATCCGGAGACTCCATGCCCTGTCCAACGGGGAGTTTCCACCAGCAACAGCAGACGATGTCAGGCAGTAATGCAGGCCCAGCACTGCCACATCTTCTGATTTTTTTTTTTAAGCCAAGGATCTGGGGCACTTGGGTGGCTCAGTCAGTTAAGCGTGCAACTCTTGGTTTCGGCTCAGGTCACGATCTCAGTTGTGTGGGTTCAAGCCCCATATCAGGCTCTGCACTCAGTGCTTGAGATTCTCTGTCTCACTCTCTCTCTGCCCCTTCCCAACTCATGCTGTCTCTATGTCTCTCAAAATAAATAAACTTTATAAAGCCAAGAATCTGGATCTTTTCTTTCTTTCTTTTTGTTTAAGTAGGTTCCATGCCCAGTGTGGAGCCCAAGTGGAGCTTGAACTCTCAAGACCCTGAGATCAAGACCTGAGCTGAGCTCAAGAGTCAGATGCTTAACCACCTGAGCCACCCAGGCACCCCAGAATCTGGATCTTTTAAGGTAAAAATTTTCAATGTGTAACTATTGGCAGTAGATTCCACAAAACTTTGGGGAGCACCTGGGTGGCTGTTGGTTAAGCGTCAAACTCTTGATTTTGCCTCAGGTCATGATCTCACAGTCATGAGATCGAGCCCTGCATCAGGCTCTGCACTGGGCATGAAGCCTGCTTGAGATTCTCTCTCCCTCCCCCTCTACCCCTCCCCATCTTGTGTCCTTTCTCTCTCTCTGTAAAAATAAAAAATAAAAATAAATAACTTAAAAAAAAAAGAAAAATTTAAAGATTATGATGATTAACCAAAATACGTCCACGGGCAGGATTCAGCCAGTGGGCTAACAATCTGTAAACTCTGTCCTAGACTGGCAGCCTGTGAGGACTGGAAGCATTTCTCTTTTGTGGCTGCACACAGTAGATGCTCAATAAATATTTGTTGACTGTTACTACCAGGATTATTTGGTCACAGTGGTCATAAATCCAAATCAAATTAGTCTAACAGGATGCTAAAAAGAATATTTCAGTCAAGCCTCTGGAATGATAAATTTCAGACACTAACGTGAGGTTCTAGACTGAGATGTAAATTTTCAAAGGAAATATCTGAAACCTGAAAAATTTCAAAGGAAATATCAAATCAAAATGATCTGAAAGACCCTCCCTACATCAAATATAAAAGTAACCGGCAATGAGAAGTTAAGGAAAGAGAATTTGAACAACTTGCCTGGACTGAGCAGTGCTATGGACTCCTCACTTAAGGGGCAGAATGAGTACTTGTCTCTCCCTCATGCCTGGTGAGGGAAGCTTAACTTTGACCCTTAAAAAATGGGGAACACAGTAGACTTCTAGATGCTTGACTTCTACCTGACAAGTGTAAAGGCCACAAGATAGGCTGGATGCAGGAACTGGTCTGCACTCCTGGAATTTGTTGTAAAAAAGGATGCATAAATGAGCGAGAGTGGGTTTGTTTTAGGTCCTTTCCAAAACACGGGTCCAGAGGGTTGCCAGGGGCCTCAGCAGACAGCAGTGGGGACAGACACTGGGAGTCCTAGGAGCCACAGGAGTGAGTGACAAGGTTTGAGCAAGTACATGACCTCCATCAGGGGAGCTGTACAGCAGAAGTCCCTAGTTGCAGGGGTCTCCAAAATGCCTCCCAGAGCACCCACAGGCGTTAGTTTTAAACACTCAACAGCTCAGACAGCGCTGACACTATCTTATGTCTTTTCTATTCACATTGTCTCTTTCCCTTCCCCACCGATTCCAGAGAGGTCAGAAACCACAACCAGCATCCAAGGAGGAGTGGGAAAATGACAGGCAGGGCACATCCCCTTCCCAGGGTCAGGCACCTGCTGGTACGAAGCCCTAAATGCAGGGAGGGGAAGTCACTGTAGCTTTGAATGAATTGAAAGCTATGGCTCTTACATAAGGCCAGATACTCTAATTTTGGAATTGGTGACTCAATGTGACCATGGGATTTTTAGTACCTCCTCGATATCAAAAAATTCTCTGGACTTCCCACACTGAAAACATTTTAAGAGGGCACAGGGAGACAAAATAAAACCGGCTTTGATTATCTCCTGATGTGTCTTGCACGTTCAAGACACTGGTTGTACTAATCTAGGCAAAAAGGGCAATGTAATGGTTCACGCAACCAGTGTGAAAAGGGTCAAGGTACAGGTTTCAGGGACCACAGAAAGTGACTGGACCACCACTGCGCCTCCCTGAGTCATTGCTCTCCCCTGACCAGCTTCCTTCCTAAGTTAGAAAACATGCTGCTGGCAACCTTCAGATACACACCTTCAGCTTTGCCTCTGAAAGGGACTGAGACTCGGTCTCTCTGCACAAAATGGCAAAACTCCCAGGGAAGGGCCAGGAGTGGCCTTGTGTACATCTGTTCCTCACACCCGCTCTAATCACAATGACGGGAAGCAAGGATTGTAAAAAAATTACTACTCCCACATTACACATGTGGTTAGGAGAATTTACCAGAAGAACGGACATGCTGTCCTGAACAAATGCAGGCTCTCGGGAACAGTAGGAAGTCTTTGGAAAACATACAGCTAGCTAAGTCTCCGCGGAAAATAGGTATAGCCATGGACGATATTAAATGGACCACTGTTAAAATGGGCTTCGGACTTTTTCCTTCCCATCCTCATTCTGCTG